AACCTTATAGATATTTGAATACTATCTAGAGAAAATCAGTAACCCTGAGACACTGCCAGATACCGAAGTGCCTTTGAAATCATCAAGGGCAGGCTAAATAAGGAGGTCTTGATCTGGCGTTAGAATGTGTCAAATCTACTGAAAAATCAAGGTTCTTACTATTTATGGCTATGCAACTGAGCAAAAGATGTCATTCTCCAGGTGTTCTTGATGAGAGAGAGTTTACACATCATTATGAGACAGAAAGGAGGGTAATTGCTGGTGGATATATAGGTAAGGGCTGCCCAGGAAAAATTCCGTTCTGGGCGGAATGGCCTAGGAAAGAGGCAGGTGCCTCTTTGTTATCAAGAGGTGAATGCGATTTGAAAGTTGAATGCTGTAATCAAGCACAAATGACTCTCAACTCGACAAATTAATCTACCCTGTTTTCTCTTCACACGCATGCACATAGACAATCTTCTCCCATTCTGAGGACTGCTTGTTCAGTTTTTTAAATGGTGTCTGTGGCAGTTTTGATTTCCAAAGAAATATATTCTGAGATGGAGACTAGCGTGCAGGAAGGTTATTTAAAAGTGCTTTGGGAATCAATACCTGATTGAGCAGAGGGAGAACTTACCCAGGAGTCTCAGCGGAAACTCTGGAAACTCTGGAAACTCTAGCCTTCAGTGAGTGGCTGGGACTTTATGCGCAGGTCGCTGAGAAAGTTTTGAGACCGACTGTGTGTATGGTCCATTATTTTGCTTCCAAGAAACACAGTTGACTGTCCTTTCTGATTCATCCATTCCAATTTCAATTAGTTTGCCCGATTGGTGTGGCTGGGAGGGCTTCATTTATTTCTGTCCACATGGATTTTTATGTTTCTTGATTTTTGTGTACCTGAAAACTTTCCCAATGGCTGGTGTACCCTCATGTCAATTGATCATGGGATGTAAGCCACCCTTTGACAATCCCCAAAGGGACTGAGAGCTGAGGTGGCTTTCCCAGCAGCTGGAGTAAGGGGTTTTTTTTTATTACTGTAAGTATTTAATTGCAATGTAGTCAAATCTCACTGTGGTTAGTGTTTCTGAATTCCATTTAAGACATCTTATTTCTTTGCACCACAGTCATGAAGATTTTCTTTTCTATTTTTGTCTAGAAGCTTCATTTTTATTATTGTGTCTTATTTATACTTGACACTTTTCATTGAAATATAGACTATGAAATGTTTTATGTCACCATCATCCCTAAAGGATATCTTCACTGGATGTGAAATTCTACTTTGACAATTATTTTCTTTCAGCTCTTTAACGGTCTCGTCCTTTTTACCGGCTTTTACTGTTTGTGTTGCGAAATCCACTTTCACTTTAATTGCTGTTCCTTTGACGATAATGTCTCTTAAAAACCTCTTAAAATTTTTTTTTTTTTTTTTGGTTTCCACCAAAGTTTGGTATGACTAGGTGTAAAGTTTTTTGTTTTTTGTTTTTTTAATTTTATTTTACTTTGGATTATAGGACTTCTCGGATTTGTCTCTTGGTGTCTTTCTTCCTTGTGGGGTCATCTTTAGTCATTACGTTTTCTCACAGTGCTTCTGCCTCACTGTCTCTCTATTTTCCTCTCTCAAAAACATGTTAGTGACCACTGAACTATACACTTTAAATTATTAAAATGGTAAATGTTATATCAGGTGAATTTTACCATAATTCTTTTAAAAAGGTATCTAGAGGTAGAAGGTTTGGGGGTTGGCTTAACCACTCAGTATAGGAGAGCTGTGGTTTGCCATCTGTTACTGAGATGGTTGGGTTTAATTTTACTATCTTGCTATTTGTTTTCTTTCTTTTATTTTCTATTTTGTTGTTGTTGTTGTTGTTGCAGTTTTTGACTGGGGCTGGGTTTGAACCTGCCACCTCTGGTACACGAGGCTGGCGCCCCACTCCTTGAGCCACATGCACCACCTTTGTTTTCTATTTGTTACACCTATTTCCTGTTCCTTTCTTGGTTTCTTTGTGTTAATCAAGTATTATTCTCATCATTTTTCTCTATTAGCTTTTTAGTTATATCTTCTTGTACTTTGTTACTGCTTGCTCTAGAGATTTTAGCACTCATTTCTAACCTGCTATGGTCAGTCTTAAAGTAGGATTTTAATACTTTTTGATTAACGCAAGCACTATTCAAATGTTTAACTCCATTTACTTCTCCATTTATCCCTTATTGCCTTTTGTGCTGTTTATATATTTTTATTAAATATATGGACTAAACATTCCAATTAAAAGACAAAGATTATTAGAGTGGATTTTTAAAATACAGGTAGTAGTACTCTGGCTTCTGCTTATAATAAACCAACTCTAAGTGCAGAGACTGCTTAGAGACAGCTGTCACAATGTGTGCAGGGACATAAAGGACCCTGAAATATTGTGTGAACGTGGGGGTTTATGTGCTGGGAAGTAGAGTTCCATGTTACTCTCCCACCTTCCCCACCAAGCTCAGGAGATGGTCTGTGCTAGGAGTGTGCCCTGACTTGATGTGCTGGGGAAATGTGTGTGGCAGTCAGGAAGGGACTGGAGGGAAGTGACTCATGAGACAGAGAGGCCAAGCACCTTTCAGCACCACCAGGTGGACTCTGGCAGGCCCGGGTGTTTGCCTTGGGAAGCCTAGATTGCAAACCTGACACCTGCTTATAAACAGTCACGTATGTATCCTCATGGTAATAACCCCTCTCCCCCGGGGGTAAAATCCCCAACTAAATTCTCCTTTACAAAAGGGACATTCAAATACAGGAGAATTATTTGGTTTAAATTAAAAGAATATAGGGATATGCACCGCATACACTAATCCCCGAAAGCTGATGTGGCTCTATTAATGATAAACATAGTAGACCTTAAGACAAGAAGTATTACTGGGGAAAAAGAAGCATTTCATAATGATAACAGAGTTAATTCAATAAAAAGGCATAAAAATCCTATATTTGTACACATCTAATAACATTGCTTCAAGATACAGGGTGTTTGGCTGGGCGCAGAGGCTCACGCCTGTAATCCTAGCACTCTGGGAGGCTGAGGTCAGTGGATTGCTTGAGTTCATGAGTTCAAGACCAGCCTGAGCAAAAGCAAGTCACCTGTCATCTCTACTAAAAATAGAAAAACTGAGGCAAGAAGATTGCTTGAGTCCAAGAGTTGGAGGTTGCTGTGAGCTATGATGCCACAGCACTCTACCCAGGGTGACAGCTTGAGACTCTGTCTAAAAAAAAAAGAAAAAATAATACAGGATGTCTATAAAGTTAGTGTATATTTTTTATATTTATACTTCACAAATTAAAATGAAAAATAGACAAGCCCACAATCACAGAGATTTTAAGGTACAGATTGAGTATCTGGTATCTGAAATGCTTGGGTCCAGAAATGTTTTGGATTTTGGATTTTTTCAGATTTTGGAATAATTGCATATGAGATACCTTGGGATGGGGCCCAAGTCTAAACATGAAATTCATTTGTTTCATAGACACCTTTACACATAAGCTGAAGGTAACAGTACAGAACATTTTTTTATAATTTTGCGCAAGAAACAAAGTTTATGTATAGTGAACCATCAAAAAGGCCATTCTCTCAGACACCCATGAGGAATACCCTGGATGTCTGACATTACCATCATTTCCAACTCTGAATAAATACACTTCGGATAAGCACTCATTTTCTTACAATTATACACACATAGTACTCAGCAGTAAAAAATATGAGATACCATTTATATGGGGGGAATGATGTGTTCAGGGTGACTAAGCAGCACAGTAGCTTCAGCAGGATATCTGTCTCAGCTGGGAAGCAGCAACAACAAACAAGGGCAGGTTTTCAATCTCCACCTCTGATGCCGTGTTTTGATGAAAAGGTCACTGTATGGTATTTTATTTTTTTTAGATGAGAAGCAACATCAGACACAATTGAGGGACAAGGAAGTAGGTCCTCAAGAGATGAAAAGGCATTTTGCTGGATGACTTTTCTTTTTAGAGACAAGTCTCACTTTGTCACCCTCAGTAGAGTGCTGTGGCATCACAGCTCAGAGCAACCTCCAGCTCTTAGGCCTCTTGGGCTTATGTGATTCTCTTGCTTCAGCCTCCTGAGTACCTGAGACTACAGGCACCTGCCACAACGCCTGGCTATATTTTGGTTGTAGTTGTCGTTTTTGTTTGGCGGGACCCGGGCTGGATTCGAACCTGCCAGCTCCGGTGTACGTGGCTGGCGCCTTAGCCGCTTGAGCTACAGGCACCGATCCTGCTAGATGACTTTTAAAACATTTCCTCCAGAGCTATCTGCTTCATCAAAAGTTTTAGAAGTCTCTCTTTGATTTTATAAACTGACATGGTTTCTTGTTCTGTTTATGAATGCACTGCCCTAGTCCCTCAATAAACCCATCACACAGTTCCAACATGTCGTCTGTGCACACGTTTTCTGCAGCGTAAACAATGTCATCGTCAATGTCACTATTATCATGATCACCTTGATCCAGATCCATTTTGGCTGCTTCGGTATCAATCAATGATTGCACACTTAGAGGCTTTCTTTTGAGACAGAGTCTCCCTTTGTCACCCTTGGTAGAATGCTGTGGCATCACAGCTAACTGGGCTTAAGCAATTCTCCTGCCTCAGCCTCCCAGTAGCTGGGACTACAGGCACCTGCCACAACATCTGACTATCTTGCTCAGGCTGGTCTTCTAACTCCTGAGTTCAAGAAATCCACTTGCCTCAGCCTCCCAGAGTGCTGGAATTACAGGTGTGAGCCACTGTGCCCAGCCTAGAGGCATAGTTTCATATTAAAATTTTTCAATATTCCCTTCTTCCAAGATACCGATGGGCTCTGAAGGTATATATTTTTTGCAAATATAAGGAGGTCAGACATCACTTTTTCTCGCTTAACATACAGAATCCTTTAAAGACATCACCTTGTCCATCATGATCACTGAACATAGTCACAGACCAGAGATTTATGCCAGGCACACACAACTGTGTCTTTAGTCACTGTTCCAAGCTGTTTTTGAAAACCTCCCACATCCACACCTCTGTTCACTGCTACCAGCATGCTGCTCAAGAAAGTGTTTTTTATTTCCTCTTCACCCATCCTCACAAAATGTAGTCTGTGCTGGAGGAACGGGAGGAGTACTGATGGACGGAGGATGACCTTTCCCAGCCCTCCCTGGGAATTTGTCTTCCTATGTAGAAGAAGACGTGGCTGCAACTTTTCTGAAATATTTCTGAGAGGTGTTTCTTGAACTTCTCACCCATGAAAGCATAGATAATAGGGTTCACACAGCAGTGAGTGAAGGAGATGGTTTCTGTGACGTGGGTGGCATAAATCAGCCGCTGGCTCATGACACACCCGTCCAAGATGTGCATGTTGTGCAGGGAAGTGAGGAAGAGGACCAGGTTGAATGGGACCCAGAAGAGTAAAGATGCAATGACCACAATGAGCACCAACCTGATGGCCTTGGTCTTGTTCTGGTTTTGGCACCGCTTCAGCTGGTGCAGGATGCTAATATAGCAGAACAAAAGAATACTGAATGGTAGCAACAGGCCTAAGATGTTCATTTCAAAGTGGGTGAAGATCTTCCACTGCAAAGTCTGTTGATTGTAAGATAAATAACACTGTAGAATACCATCTTCAGAGTCCACTTGGTAAAATTTTAGCATTGGGCTGCTGGCCAGAATGGCCAGCAGCCATACTGCCAGGCTCAGGGCTGTGCCCATTCTGGCTGTCCTCACCTTTACGGCATACACGGCATGGACAACAGCCAGATACCTGTCCACACTCATAAGGGTGATGAAGAACATGCTGCTGAAGAAGCCAATGTAATATAAGCCAGAGACCACCTTGCACATTCCAGTCCCAAACACCCACTGGTCCAGCTGATAGTGGGTCTGAAAGGGGAAGGAGAAAACAAAAAGCAGGTCGGACAGGGCCAGGTTCAAGAGGTACACATCTGTGATGCTCCTCAGCTTCTTGCAGGCCACAAGGACCAGGATGACCAGGAGGTTTCCCAGAAGACCGAATACAAACAGGAGGCAAAAAAAGACGGCAAGAAGCAGCTTGCCGTCCCTCTGGAAAATCTCCCCATCACAGGGGCTTGAGAAGAGATCAGGATAGTAGTAATCAGTCACTGTTGTCACATTGGGTTCAAGTGTATAATCCATCAAGGCAGGGGGACCTGGTCACAGAGACATATAAAAGAGATTCAGTCCTTAAGAATAACTTTATTTTTATTTTT